ATTTGAGGACAAATTGTCGAATTAATTGTTGACGCATTATTCGCATTGTTTTGAAAGAAATCGTGACAAACAGAGCACACAATGTTTTGTCAAGAACGGGTACACATTTCTTCTGTAAAGATTTTGGCCAAATAGATCCAAATTTACTTAATAATATGACATTTTCATTAAAACCTCTTGATTTTCAAAAATTGCATAAGTTACATTTTCTTTCGTATTAGTTGTACACTTTCATGTTGGAAGTAGAAATGTAATGTTTTACAAAATGTATATGTATTGCAATGCAATTATGTGCATTTAAGTTATTTTCACTGTTTTGTGTATTAGTTGCTAATGACCACTGCAGTGAATGCGACTGTTTGGCGTAGTGCGTAGATTAATAAAGAGTGAACTGTATCAATAGATGGTATTACAAGCACTAGCCAAAACCCTAAGAGAGCTCAGAAGGGTAATCTGAATGAGATTGGGATGAGGAATCCATCGAGCAATGTTCATATGCACAATGTGATTAAAACAAAACAATCATTTATTAAAATCAAATACTTCAACCTGAGTGTGTGAGTGAGTGTGTGAGTGAGTGTGTGAGTGAGTGTGTGAGTGAGTGTGTGAGTGAGTGTGTGGATAGTGTGCGAGCGAGTGTGCGAGTGAGTGTGCGAGTGAGCTGTGCGAGGAGTGTGCGAGCGAGTGTGCGAGCGAGTGGGAGCCGATGTGCGAGTGAGTGTGCGAGCGAGTGTGCGAGGAGTGTACGAGCGAGTGTGCGAGTGAGTGTTGTGCGAGTGAGGTGTGCGAGGAGTGTGCGAGTGAGTGGGTGGGAGTGAGTGTCGGAGTGAGTGTTGTGAGTGAGTGAGTGTGTGTGGTGTGTGTGGTGAGAGAGGAGAGTGAGAGAGAGTGAGAGTGAGGAGACAGTAAACAATGTATAAACAATGTCGCTTAAGTGGTGCTGGTACGCTGTGTGACTGGTACACTGGTAGAGTTTACTCGCTCATAGGGGGGGGGGGCGAATATATCACTGGTAGAATCGTGCAGTACATCACTTCAGCAAGCACGAAAGAAGTTCCGTCCACGCACGGAACACAGTTTCGTTCTGAAATTGAAGTTGAAGTCTGAACACTGAAGGTGGCGCGCGGCGCAAATTTCTCATCATGCTTCGGTTAGCAGGTTCTGAGATGGCCCAACCCAGACATTGAATGGGGAGGTTACAGTGAGGGTCAACTGCCTTCTGGCGAAACTCAGATACCGACACGAGGACGTCCTTGTGCAGTCCTCCTGGTAAAGTATAACTACGAAGCAGGGATCCAGCCAATCATTTTGGAGGGGTCCATCCTTGATTTTTGTTAAATACTGATCATATTTGTTATTATATTGTATACTATGTGTATACTGTATGTTTTGATACTACATAATATTATTGATTAATTAATGGCATAATTCGACCAGAAATGAATATTTAAATCAATTTTGCCAAACAAAGGAAGTAAACATAAACTCTAAGCCTTTTGAGGAGGCCACGGCCGCCATGGCCCCTCTCTGGATCAGCTAGTGGTACGAGGTTGGCCGTGAGGTTGGCCGTACGAGGTTGGATGACCGTGATTGTGCTAATGCGATTGTACTAAGCTAAAGGCTGAGAATAAAATGTATGTACGAAACATGAAATGTGCGCTGAGACCCCCGAAAAAAAACCAACAAAAACAAGCATAATTAATTACAGTGTGCAAATACGTGACACTGTTCTTGCCTGATATTGACCAGCGAGTTATATAAATAAATATAATAAAAATTAGTATTCGAGATATTGCTGTAATATCTACGTATGAAATCATTTTGAAAGCCAAGAGCGTCAAGTTTTGGTCTCTGTTGCATCTAGTTCAAAACAGCAGCGCACCGATGTGACGCCACTCTCTTATAAACGTTTGGCATTGCGAAGTACGAGCAGCTGGAGTGGGCGCGCGTCAATATCGGGAAGTATTCTGATAAGAAACGACGATGTCGAAATCTGAAAATACGAATGTTAGAATTGATAAGAGGCCACATTCACTTTCTAAATACCATTATTAATAAAGTAGAGGAAAAAATACTAAAGACAACAACCTCCGTAACTGATTATTTGGACAGACCGTGGGTGAAACATAATTTCAGTGAACTAATAAAAATTTCAAAATACGATCAAGTTTCCCTAAATTATTTTCAATTCATCCAGTGCATCGTATTACTTATTGAATGAAGTGATAAAATTATAATATTCCTGCCATCTAAGCATTGAGAATATTGTCAAGTTGCTATTCCGAGCCCAAACTTCGTGTACTAACTTTTGTATTATGTACCAACTTCGCGTATTAAAATTTCGATGCAAATTCATGGCGTTCATTCGGGTCTCCAGTCTGCCCTTTCGGCATTCAATACTGCTATCTAGAGCACAGGCTAAAAAAGACAAGTTCAATTAAAATAATTCTGTACCCTTAATATTATTCGGAAAGATACGATACAAAATAAAAGTACTAAACATCTTCTATATTACTATTTTTCAATGCGCACAGGTATTGAAAGAAAACTATGCCACCTCCGGCCATGTGCGAGGTGTTTAATTAGATACCCAGGAATTCGTAAAAATGCAAAATAATATAAGTTTTGATTTTGAGAGGAAATGCAAAAATCAGATTATGTTAATCTTCAATATCTCATATCTGATGTTACTACTCTCAACTCTCACACTCGGTGCGATACTGCTTGCGACTCAGCTGTCATGCAAAGAGGAAGAAATTATCTTCAGTTTTCCCTTTGGTCGTTTGAGAACATGTTCACTGCCCTAGGTCTTCATTTTCCACTCACTCGTTAGCTGCTGCAGATCACTACGTGGATATGTCCCTTTCCCACTCTTCCTTGTTTAATACAAATATGGCACATATTAAAAGGCATTTGTACGTACCATGACCAACCATGACTTAAATTGTGTTACATACCACCTAAGTGTAGTAATTAATTATTAAAAGTGTGATGTACACTTCTAACCTGCAATATACATTATTATGCAATACACTTTACCATTGGATATAACTCAAAAACGATTCGTCCGAGAGCGTTAAAAAGGATTTTTGTGTCCCAAATAGATACATGTAATGTTTTTAATGCTTTAAAAAGTGATTCTTTTTTGAGCATTTTATTACATTTTTGGTAGGTTCCGTCACCCTGTAACAAAGGATACCAGAATCGCTGTGTGTTGAGAAACAATGTATAGCAATTTTCACCTTCAAAACAATTAATACAAAGTGCGGAATGTTCGTACAGATCCAGTCAAGCCAGATTTAAATTTTGGATATTTTTTTGCATCATAGGGGTCTTTCACATTTTTAGGACCTTAGCAGGATTCATTATAAGAAGATACACATTAACATTCAAAAGGATAATCATAATTGAAAAACGTGGTAGTTCGCTTTAACGCTATGTGTATAAAATAAATTAACTATTATTAAAAAATCGATAATTATTTTCAGCGATAAAAACTTTACTGAAAATATTCATATCGATTCCAAAAGTTACATCAGTTTGGGAATTATATTAAGGTTATTACAGTGTACAAGTATATACAGTGAGTAGCCAGTTGATTGATACGACGTTATACTACAAGTAAAAATAATACATGACATTCCATTCAACGTTATTTTTTTAAAAGTGTGAATCTCACACTCCGGCACCGAATGTCAATCACTGAACTTCACAAATTCCATTGCAACAGATGTATATTGACAGACTTATCGTTCAACATGGGAACTACGACTATTTAATTAGTAATCATTTCACAGTCAGTGTGACCCAAAAAGGCTCCTTTGCTTTGACCTCCAATGCGCTCTATTTGCGTAGCAAACACGGCGCGGAACAAAGCCGAGGCTCTCTGAAAAGACACGAATAAATTCGGTTAAATCCACTGATGGAGCCAGACCCCAGCATTTGTAAAACACAGGCAGCGCAGCGAATGCCCATATGTTTGGTTGATATTGTTGTGAATGACGCGGGTGATTACAGGATTACAGAGGTGCCCATTGTTGGGACTTTGCGGCTGTTCTGTCTTTTATATTATAATGCTTTGTCAAATATTTAAATATGCAATTCAATTATAACTTTTTTTAAAATTATACTATTTGTGTGTATGAACGTATTACACAAAACCATTGAGTTACGCATAAAAACGGAAACAAAGTCCAGCGAACCTGCACCGAGGGGCACGGTAATTCATAGTCGTAATTAAATGGCCGCGCTTTTTACGGTGATTTTTACCTGGTGTCGCGGCCGCAGCTGGTCTCGTCGCGCGCGACTCGCACCCCTACCCCTCCCCCACCTCCGGCCCCGCCCGCGTAATCGGTTTCCCTCCGCAGAACAGGGCGGCCAAGTCCAATTCTTTCTTTTCTGGTGACTATTCCACTCTTGAAATTAGAACCAATAGTTTTAAACTAGACCTAAAAAAATGCACCAATCAGGGCGGTGTATCTCAAAATTATCGCTCTTCTATGTGATTTTTCTCCCTAATGGCCAATTGTAAACTGGGACTCATCTATTTTAGGAGGCAGTATACATCGATCGCTATGTCCATGTCCAATAAACCGCTTATGTATTTTAACATAACCTCTTGGATTTTTTTCAATATTTGACGCAGTTTGGAACTACGTTTAACATAATTTCACTCATGGAATAGTCCTATTTAATACCACTCGTGCTTCTCAGATAAATCACCTCCTCGTTTCGCGAGTCTAGGATTTATCGACAATTTCCAAAGCACAAAGCACTGACAAAGGTTGTTTTTTTCGTACATCATACTAAGTGTTTAAGAATATAATTTAAATGTCAGTCCGCTGCTCTTGCTTCACACCCTTTATACGTCAGGTCTTCCGTTTCCTCCCGCTCCGCCTGTTTCACCTGCCTCGCTCGCTGCACCAATCCCGTCCCACCATCTTCCTTCATCCCATTCCACACTCTTCGCTACTCCCATTGCACCCTCTTTACCCGACCTGCTACGCCACTTCAACAATTCCCTCTCGGTTTTCACCAGGCCCTCCGTCAGCTTCACCAGTTCGTTTCGCTTGCTTCAGCAGTTCCATTCCACCCTCTTCTCTAGTCTCATTCTACCTTCTTCACCGGTTCCGCTAGGCTACTTCATCAGCCCCGATCCCCAACCCCAATCTGAAAAGCGAACTGTCTTGAATGTACGATTTCTGTATGAAAACTTTTGAGCATGTTAGATTTTGTTATACAGAAAACGCAGAGTTTGACTCTAGCGCTTCTAGCGGCAGAATCGTTCACTAACGGCTTTCTTCACAGCGGAGAGCACCCATCGTTTTCAATTTTTTGGTTAGGTTAGGTGCGATTCCTGATATTTTCTGTATTGGCGTGGCGGATTCGAGTTCCAGATTTTTCAGGGGAGTTTATTTCACTGCATCTTGCAAATGTGAGATTACTAATTTTCACTTCTGCGGCCGAGATTCTTCCTGCACTCGGAGCATTTTTTTCCTGCGCGCTCCCTAAAACCTTCGCAACTACAACCATGATTGTAGCAACAACGATGACGGCCTTTCCAGCTTCTCCCCATGTTTCATTAGTACGCAAAAAAAGTTAATATAGTAGCTTAGACGCACCTACAAAAATGTCGAGAATTTATATATCCCTGACGGCACAATGTGACAATTCTCTCTGTGTACCGGCAGAGCCCCTGGCGTTATATAGCGGCAAATCGTACAGAAGACATGCAAATCTTGTTAACAGGATTTTTGGCTTAAAAAATTATTCTTTTAGTTTGGGATCATGACGTTTCTGTAAGAAAATCTGCACGAAAACTGAATGAATGTGAAAGGAACTTTTGGGCAGGAAACTATAGGCCCCATGAAATAGGGAAAAAATTAACTCCTCCAGGATTAGGACTTTAGTTTCCTGGTGAGCGTGTTTCTTTTTTTTTTTTTTTTTGAGCTCACCACCAGAGAGTGTGAGGCTTTTGCACTGGGTAGGAATATTTATAGCTCTAATAATATGAATAATAATATATATAAGAAAGAAAACGAAGAAGAAGAAGAAGAAGAAGAAGAAGAAGAAGAAGGAGGAGGAGGAGGAGGAGGAGAAGGAGAAGGAGAAGAAGGAGAAGAAGGAGAAGAAGGAGAAGAAAACGAATGCCGATCAGATGGCCAAGACTGGTCGAATCGCCGAATATCGCAAAGGCAGTAGTGCTGCAGTGGTTTCGGACCAGAAGATTGAGGGTTCGAGTCCCTCCTCGGGCATGGGCGTATTTGTGTATGTCTGTATGAGTGTGTCGTCCTTTCACCCCTCATTATCATCATTTCATCTTCCATATCCTCATGCGTGATCCTAATCGGCCAATTTCGCGAGCAAGAAATAGCAATAATAATGATAATAATAATAATTATGATAATAATAATAATAATAATAATAATAATAATAATAATAATAATAATAATAATAATAATAAAAATATACCCCATACCCACCGAGCTGACGTAGCCCGTTGCGCCCCCGTGCTGCAGTGGCAATCCGAATTCGCCCCGGCCCCCACACGCGTCCTCGTCGTCCCGGACGCAGACACAGCGGCAGGGATGACGCAATCATAAAATGCAATTTGCCGCATGGGCGGGCAGAATCATTGGCATGGCCGAAGGCATGAATATTACACAAAATACTTGTGTACTCGTTGCCACCGCCGCCGCCGATCAGGCGAACGCTCGCAGGCGTGGCTGCCGACACCGCAGGACGTTCACGCCGTCTATTATTATTTATAGAATTTCCGAATCCTATTCTGCGATCTCTTGTTCCTTGTATTCCCTTGTAGGCTGCAACTGCCGCTTTTTTTACTGCCCTATACGAACATTAAATGACTAGAAAACGAACAATTGTGCACATTGTCCGAAACTATGCAAATAATCTGAAGTTGTAGATTGAGAGAAAAAAATGTCCCATTTGAGTTCAATTAAGAGGTTGGAAAATATATTCCCTGCATGAGAAAATTTGTTTCATAAAGTCAAGACATTGTTCGCAAATGCGAGGGGGATAGGAAACTGACTATGCTAAATAGTACACACTTTCTCGCATTATCTTTCACTTTTCAATTTTCGAAAATTTAGGGACCAACGAAAATGAGACCTGCGCTATTTTTGAAGTGACTTTAGCTCTATCCGAAAAAAAAAGAAATAACTTGAAGTCTTATTGAGAAAATATATTATTTTAAATTACCCTTATTTCAATTACAAATTACACGAAAACTATTGTTTATATTTTGACATAAATGTACGAAAACGTACTTAAAGATCAATTGTTAAGAACAGATTTCATTAAGGAAAATGTTTATTATCAATATTGTAGTTTTTTATTGTATAGAAATTGTATTGAAATGATGCGGCAAAATACGGCAATTTTTCGACAGAAAAACTATTGAGGGGTTCTGATACCAATAAAATAGATGTTTCTTGTTCTTATATTTACTAAATTACTTTCTAACACATTGTGCAGTCATAATCCTCATTTTATGGGTCCTTGGTACGAAAAATTGGTTTACGGAAAAAGTGTATCTATGTGTCAGTCCTGCCTGTCGGTCCGTCTGTCTCTCTGTCCGCCTTCATGACTGTCGGTCTTCCTGTCTGCTCGTCTGTCTGTCTCCAATATTTAAGGCTACCAAGATTTTCTTTATTTTTCTTTTGTCTAGAATTGGTGAAAGTACTGTCATAAAATTGCGCGGGTCTCATTTTCAGTGAACTCTCTGAATTTTCGAAAAACAGAGAAAAGTAATATTGCAAAACTACAATGTTGTTGTCAGAGATGTTTTAGTTAATGAAATATTTCCTTTAAAATTAGATCTTTAAAAAAGGTCGAGCTTATTTAAAAAATGTAATTTTTAGTTTTTCGTGCCTTTTAAAACGTTGGAAACTGAAGAGAGTTTCACATTAGGTTCCACAAGAACAGTGGCAATGCCCGATATGGCAGTTTGATATTCTTTCTCGTAGTAGGATGACAATGTTTTTCACTGTATGGAAGTTTTACCTTATCGAATTTGTGTTTGATGTATTAGCTTTAAAAGAATTAGTTTTGGCACCTCAAGCCCAATGATTGGTAATGGAATTTTGGAAGTGGTGATATCTCAAAAATTGCTGCATTATAATACAGAAAACCCTCATTAATGCGAACTTCAAGGGACGGAAATAATCAGAGTTCTTGTTATCCGATTATTATAAATGTCCGTAACCTTGCCGGGACCCAAGGTTTGTTCGTGTTATGGCAAAATTCGTGCTAAGGGAGTTCGTGCTAACGAGGGTTTATTGAATTACGTAACCGTTACGAATGCGAGAAAGTACACGCTGTTTTAGCACCACCCGCCATCGATTTAGGCTCTTTGGGATCTCGTAATATATAATATCACGGCGCTGAAAATCAGGCATATTTGCTTCTCATCGTACAAGCTATATTTGAGTGACGCATCAATATAATTAAAACTACGGTTTTTAGCCTCAAAGGTGATATAAAAGGAAGTTTATGAAAGCGGAACATTAAAAACAATCAATACCCATTCCTAAGGAGTGGAACTTAATTCCAGGACGTTTCATCTCCAGGGAGTAATGACTTTTCCGTCTCAATAACCTCGACAATTTGGGAAAGCCGCTGCTGTTTTCTTAATTATGACATTTTCTTACAAACCGAAATTACTAAATGTAAATACTTCATAAGCAGCTAATGTAGGGGTTAAACGTTTTTATTTGCAATGGTATACCAACTTTAAAAATTTCAAAAATGTTCGAGTGTCCAAAAATTGATGGACGGAAATTCTTGAATGTGTTTCTTAAAAAAAAATAGAAATAATATTATTAGCGTGCCTTAAAGAATATGATAACATTTCTGTCCCAATCTATAAAAATGCACGAAAATAAAACTGTCAATAACAATAAAAGTTGGACATCAGTCTTGAAATGAAATGCTCAAACACGTTTCAACGCTAATCCAAAATTATGGAATTGTCATTCCTCGAAGAGTATTCACAGTGATAACGAATTTACATTTTTGTCCCGTTCTTTCATTTCGCAAATCCTTGGCGCAGAACATTGGTTTCACGATTGTAATTTGCGATATTCTCTCATCCTGAGATATACACTTTTTCAATATGATTCTGCCAAATGGAACCGCTAACATAAAAAAAATATCGACTAAAAACGAAAAACGCCGACGTAATGGAGAGACCTAATTGAAAAGTATTTCGTAAATTGTGCATTTCGGGATACCACAAATTAAATTTTTATAGGAAACGCAAACATTTTCATTTTATGAGTTTCAACATCCATCGCTCTCCAGAGAGCGAACCAACGGGTTTTAATCACACATCGAACGTCAAAGCCCGAGCGACACGATTTTTCTTAACGTGTGCGCTGTGCCGTGAACATAAAACATGAAGCGCCAACCACTCAGTCCGCCTCGGCAAAGGTACGGTGCGAGTCCAAATGTTATTCCTGGAGGTGCTGGATTTTAAATCTAAAACTTTAAAATTAAAATACGCTGGTTTTGTTTATAGCTGGTTATAAGCTGGTTTTGTTGACATAAGGGTATATTGGTGAATCAAATAGGGTCTACCTCAAAATGGGTTCGAACATGTAGCAACGTGTCATAACGCAATGCCATCGCGTGTCCTATTTAGGACACCCAGTAATTGCCTCATCCTAATGTCAAACGCGACACCGAACTTTCCGACAATCTACGCAACTCTCCCACTTACAATGATACTGTTATTTAGTGCGGTGGCGTTGCGGCATTTTTTACATTGTTACATATCTAGATCTCCTTTAAGATTCCGAGCGTCTGCAGTTTAACTGAAAATGTTACAAATGCCTATGCCTTGGTATAAACGCGTCAGCTAGGGCTCCATTTGAAACGAGGCATACTAAAACATTTCCTAGCCTTAGACATGTCACATGCTATAATGAATTGGAGTAAATACAGCAAGTTCTAATTGTTTCAAAGGTTTCCCTAATTCTCTCTGTCCCAGCTACAGGAAGTTAGGTAATATTGCATTATTTTGTGCCTTTCGGATATTTTCATTTACGTAATTTCCTCGCCTCCATGCGAGCAGCCAATTACAGATCCCCGAAAAGAACGACCGGGAGATGTCGCCCAGGGAATCAACTGATGTCACTGCATTCCTCTGACCTGAAGGTTCAATGAACGAGTCCTGACGGTGGCAGGATTTTTGACACTAGCTACATAGCCAAGTCAAATTCACTCTCTGTCTGGAGGAGAATTCTAGCGACCGGAGCGGCGGCATTGTTCGGTAGTTTTCCGTGGTTTCTCCGACTAGGCGAATTCCGGAGTAGTACCGTAACAAACGAACCACGGACCGTACGCGTTCATTCCTTCCTCCTCTTTGTCCTACCCTCTCTCCTCACCTACTCACACTTACATGCATTGCACTATCGCACAAGCCGGGGCACCGGACGGGAGCTTAGAGCTTGTCCCGGCAGGGGAAGTGCCATGCTGTTGGAAAATACCTGATGGGGGAAAACCCGCTAGCCGACGGTAGGTCGGCACCGGGTCTCGCCGTACGGCGAGGGAAAGATCACTGCTCCCCTCAAGGAACAAAATGCACTACACTTATGGGTTTAATACCATTAGCAGTTTACGCGTCACTCTTGGAAGGTTAAGACGCAAATCACTAACAACCTGCCAACGAAGAGAGCGCGAGATAGGAGTCGTTGTGTGAACAGATCTATTTTAGTATCAATTCGTAGTGTTTCTGAATTTTGCTCTGTTTCTGCTACAAAGAACAATTCACAATTGTTTTTAAATAATCGAGGGATTGAGTCGAAAATTGCGAACGATTTTTTGCTAGTAAAGTGTTGTTTTTATGGCGAATATTGTGAAGGAATAATTATCATCGACACAACTTGTTTGGCAAACGTACAGATCGAAAGGTATGTGGATTATTCGGGGATCCCAATTACATCTCTTGAAAAAAAGTTCGATCGTTGCTAAAAACTATAAAAATATTTTCCTAACATATTGGTTGTTCACTTAATTATTTTAATTTAAACATATTTTTTAATATTTTCATTCTATTTCTTTGCTGCAGACATATCGTCTGTCAGCAGAATACTTGCTGTATTATAGTTTTTTTTAAATAGATGTTAGTGTTGAACGTGACTTTCGAGAATGTTCATGTAACCCTCAAAAATCATAGAGGTTTGCGGAACACAGTTCGGGAACCACTGTGCCACATATATTATTATTAACTACATGATTCATCCCCAAGTTTCCAGACTTCTGAGAATCTAATATTGTAACATATTTTAATTGTAATCAATATGCCATTTTTCCTCAAAAGTTTTATCCAGCGACTGGCCTTCGTGAGTTTATATGCTTGAGTCATTTCGTTTCCAATTTTCAACATTTCTGCGTTCTGCGCAAAGTTGATGAGATGTTGCTGCCAAAGTTGATGAGATGTTGTATATATACATATATATACATATATATACATATATATATACATATATATACATATATATACATATATATATATATATATATATATATATATAATATGGATTTATAATTGAAAAGATCCTGTAACAAGTATTGTACTTCAGCTTCTGGAGAAAAGAGATTTCTATTAAAATAACAGAGACTGAATTTATCATGCGTCCTACAATTTCAAATTCATTTGCTCATGGCTGGATCTCGATACTGTAGGTCACCAAGGGCAAAAGCGTAATGAGCACTCCTTCATAAATAAGATTTGATTAACTAAAAAAACTAATTAGATATCTTTGGAGAAATACTGATGTAAATTTCCAAATTGCTTACAAAGACAAAATTTCATTTTTAATTACTCATTTACAAATATAAATTAAGTTTTATTCTTCTAATCAATTTATTTTTAAATTCAAACCTTGAAATTCAATAAACTGTTTGATTAATGATTACTATTCAAATAAAATCATTTTATAACGTTATAAGAATATTTGTTTAAATAATCTGGACACGTAGATAGCAGACCCGTGCTTTATTATTTTGCTAGTTCTACACATAGCTATACCTATATAAGCTATCGGGGTTTCCCTAACAAGGTATCTCCCATCGGCGGGGCACCGCCCCCAGCCCGGTCAAGCATTAAGTTCCCGACGGGTCTCCCGGCATGTGTTCTTGTATAGGGCCCGTTAGTTTACGCGTGTGTGTGTGTGTGTGTGTGTAAGGGGAAATATAGGACAAGGAAAAGGCAGGAAAGATCTTGCGGTCCGTGGCCCGTTTGTTAGGTACTGCTCCGGCCTGGTGTTGATGGGAGAAACTACCGATCAGAGTAGCCGGCCGCTTGAATCCTCCAGACAACGACTGAATTCGTCCGAGCTGACAAGCTAGTGTCGAAAATCCTACCATCGTCCTCGAACCTGGAACCTCAGATGGACTGTAGTGATCTCAGTTGATGCCCTGAGCCATCTCTTCCGCGGTGCGAAGATAGAATGAGAGTAAATTAATGTGGCTTGGCGCAGCTATGTCAAGATTGGTTAAATATTGTGTTATTGTGCATGTAACCTGAAGACTGAGTGAATTCTGTGTATTCTATTTTTCACTTGAGTACAATGACTTAACACTCATCTCCATCACCATCAACATTAGAAATTCGAAAAACCTCACGGGGAAAGCAGGCGAACGGTAGCAATATAACTTGTCATTTAAACGTAATCAATTTATTATACTGGAAGCATTCAGAACATACAATTGATAAACGATAGTGCCACAGTTATATTCATAAAGAACGTCTTTTTCTTTTGTAAGGTACGCCTCCATATCACGATATATTAATGGTAGATTAATGGCAATTTTCGGTACCTACGTGTCATTCATGTAAGACATCTCGTGTCGTTGTTGGGTTAACGAACGAGTCTCGCCACGTAAAATAAGGCATTATTCTAACTCAATCCAACTCAATCCAACTCAATCCAACTCAATCCAACTCAATCCAACTCAATCCAACTCAATTCAATTAATTCAACGAATTCGTATCATGTTATCAACAATAGTTTCCATAATTTTAGAATTGATGTACTGAGTAAATTTAATAATGATAAAAATAAAGTTCTGGGATGTTCATTCCTGATAGCAAAGAAGCAAAGATCCTTTTTCTTGTGAATCCTACACATTCTAAAGTTTGGAGGATATTATGCAACGTGTGGATGAAACAATAGTCGATGTTGATAGCTGTTAAGATAACAGTTCAGTGACACCGCCCCACGCGCGTCACCCAAGGGACACGGTTCGTTCACATCCACTTCGTTGTCTCGTTGAATGAAGATAGATTATTATGATTAATAACAGGGTGCGGATAATGCTCAAGCAAAAAACGATATATAAGATATAAACATATAAAAATAAATAAATGAACAATGAATAAAAACTATGTTCCGTTTCAGCGATCACGAATTATAAATGTTTTATTAATTTATACCTACTTAGGTTTGCGGCAATTACAAACACATTCAGTGATACATTACAATGACAAAGCAATTTTCATATCGTCTTTCGTTGAGCAGTAAAAACGAAGTTTGAAAGTTAACATAAATTGCGACATAGGCAGATAAACGAGATAATGGGCCACGAGAGAGATATTCTTGTTCAGATAAAACCAATCTTATTTAAAGCGATCTCAGTAGAGTCACTCCCAGTAAAGAACCGTGATTCTAAAGATCATGGGTAACCTACAAAGAATAATTTTGCTTTCCATAATTTTCCACCAATGCATAGAATACACAAATGCACATCCAATTGGTCAAATACTTGATTCTCACCCCGGCACTGATGTATTCAAATTTAAAAAAAAGAAATCGGAAATCGAACATAAGTCATTTGAAAACACAGACAGTGGCTGGGACACGTCGTCATCGAAGGACAATGCGAGGTTAACATCATCGTCAGACGACTGGTGGGACAAATCAACGCCATCCACGGACGATGGTTGGAGCACATCAACGCCTTCGACGGACGATGGTTGGGGCACATCAACGCCCACAACGGACGACGGATGTGTAACTACTATGACACCTCCTCCGCCAACAAATGTTACAGGATGGGAAAGTACTACGACTACGCAGACGAAGAGAGACTCTGGTGTAAATCGCGGATGGGAAACTATTACGGTTATAAAAACCAAGGCTACATTTCCTTCGGGGGCAGCTTGGGTGTCTACTACGACGACCCACACCAAGATGCCGTCTTCTGCTGTCGGGGAATGGCAAACTACCACTTCGACGGTTATTAATGGGCCGTCCTCAACGGAAGGCGGGTTGCAAACTACAACGTCGACACAAACCAAATCGCCACCCGCCGGGGGAGGAATTTGGGAGAGTATTACAACAACGGTCACGACGGGAGCGAGTTGGGAAACTACTACGACTTTGCACACCAGGGCGTTGACGACCGCGGGTGGCGGTTGGGAATTTTCTACCACGACGTACACCAAGGCGCCGTCCACAACGGGAGACTTGTGGGAAAGCAAGACGTCTTCACAAGTCCAGGCTCCTTTCAACACGAGCGGCAGTTTGGATACTATGACAACGACGCATACGAAAGCGCCGACTACGGGGGCTGGATATCCGACAACGGCGACGCACACCACGTCATCGTCTACGACGGAC